TTTTTCGTATATGTGGTTACTACACAGAGGTTTGAATGATCGCCGGCAGTCTTCTCATCATAGTACTCGAGAAAATTATAGTATTGTGATTAACTTTTTAAATTAATCGTAAATTAACTAAAAAATAGTCTAAAATAATATTAACTGCCCAAAACATGCGTTAAAATATATTAACTATTTTTTAAACCACAAGAAAAACGTCATTTTATCGTAGTTGTTTGAAAAATTCATAACTTTTTTTGATAACTAATAGAGATAAACAAAAGAATCTTTTAGATTTTAGAAAAGTACATTTCATGTTATATTTCATACTAAAAAAAATCGGTACTTAAAATTTCGATTATTATAAATTTACAAAATTTAAAAAAATGATAAATTTAAAAAAATTTTTTTCTAGCGGTTTAACAGACTGGTAAAAATTACAATTTGTGTTAAAAAAATATGAACTCAATGACTTATAATACGTTTAATTATAAAGAAAAAATATTAATAATATAAAATATAATAAAAAAAATGCATTCGTTTATATTTTTATAAATTTTCTATACATTTCATACACAATAATGATCGGTAAGATTTATATCGGTAAGATTTATATCGGTAAGATTCATATCGGTAAGATTCATATCGAGAATTATTGTACCCAGGGTTGGGCAGATACTTCAAATCAATGTATTTAAATACAAAATACAAGATACTTTTATGACATATGTTTAAATACTATTTAAATACTATGGTTTTAAAGTATATTTAAATACTAATTGTATTTAAATATACATTTATAAATACTTTTAAATATAATTATTCTTTAAATTTTTTATTTTTTAAATAATGGATAATATTCTACATAGTACGTAATATTACAAATATCACAAAAATATTATGCAATATTACCACTATATTGCAATATTAATATAATATTAGCACGATATTGTAATATTACTGCAATATTTCAGTAATATTACATGCTATATGGAAGATAATCTTATTGTGATTACTTTAATATTAAGTATATAGTCTGGAAGTAGAATCTTATGAAAATATGATCAGAAGTTGAAAGCAGCACTTTGAAAGATAAATTTATTTATTTTCACTCAAACACTTTATAAAATACAAATAATTATTATAAGACAATAACACATATTGTGACTTAATGATATACTATACAGAATACACTCTATTATTACTTTGGCCTGTCAAAAATAAAATAAATAAAAATAATAAGCAACATATATAGTGACGGGTATATATATAGAGCGGGGAAAACGGCAACGAAGTCCGCTCTCTGCTAATGAGAACTGTTTCGGCGATCAACAAGTGTATGTACACGGTCGATACATAGACGGCGTTGGTGTAGCAACGATAAGAGACAAAATATGAAATTAGTTACATAAATACATTTAAATACAAGATACATTTATATTAAGTAATTAATTACAAAGTTAAAGATATTTAATCATTTGGAATTTAAATATTGTATTTAAATAAGATACATATTTAAATATGTATCTCAGATACTTTAAAATACGTATCTGCCCAACCCTGATTGTACCGCAAACACACAAATAGAGTTTTTTCTTTTTCACGTGGGCAAAATCTGCATCGTATTTTTTTCAATGTACCATCATTTTGAAATTCGTATGATTTATCAGCCATAAGCGACTTGAATGATCGTAATCCGGTTTAAATTGAAAACCAAACATCTTTCTTCGCATTGAAATGAGCATCCATTATGTATCTACAATAATAACTTGTATTGTTATCTACAATAATAACAAGTATTAACTTGGTATACTTTATGTTCTAATGGACTTAAGCTTAAATCTAGTAAATCTGAAAATAGACAACACTATGAAAAAGATTTCCTTATTATGTTGTCGCAGGAATGAACCAGGTCGCGACAGTTCTGTTAGGATCGTACCTCAAGGAAACGAGTGGGAGAGTGAATAGATATATCTGTCGCTTTTAATACGTACTTATAAATAATTTATTGTAACGTGGTTTACTTTATAATATGCGCAAATGTTATTTGGTGCGTGTTAAAGAGCAGGAACTGGCCTGAAGGATCGCGCCTGGTTTTTATTACCGAATTTCAGATCGGAGGAGATTGCTTGTCGACAAGTCGCTGGCCTCCAGCACATATGTCCGAAATCAACTAAAAGTACAATGCAATGTTTTAGCATTTCTGTGGCGTTTATACTTCACTTTTTATTCCAATTAATTGAACATTTTTTAAATTTCTTTTAAATGTTGCAAAAAATACTGCTTTAGCTAAAAGTTGAACCTAGACTTTTTCACTTGGTGTGCGAGATATAATTTAATTTAAGGAAAGTTAAGTTAGAAGCATATTATATAATTTAAGTTAACTTATGAACTAATATCACATTTTTTTACATTGCAGCGGCAATTAAGAGAAAAAAGGAAGACCAGTGACCCGAATCTTTCCAAAACAAAGTGAGTTGCTTTCATATATTTAATATTATGAATTCTTAATTTTACTAAAAATAATCATGGATCGTCGAATGTCAATTGGTTTGTAGCAATAGTATCTGAGCTTTTTTATTATTTATGTTGATCGAATTAATTTATAAGGATTTATTATTATAACAGTATAGAGAATGCCGTTCAGTAAAAATACCGAATAGAAGGCCCAGCTCCTATGGCCTTGATTTTGACAGGGTGTCTTAAATCACTTACACAATTTCTCGTAAGAATGTAAAGAGAATTAAGATGAACACGAAAGTCCCATATCGTTTTGCGATATTCTCAATAATAACCGAGAAATTAATGATAAAAGATTAAGGAAAAACGCATACTGAATGATTGAGGGAGGAACGCTCGCGATCGAGTAATATAGCAGGCGAATGTTATATCGCGACGATCGTACGTCTTGCCCATCGACATATAGAGTGGACTGCTAAGTGCAATGGTGAGGATGGAAACAGACTTAGGCTGCGTTCGCTTTGGGCGCTTATGCGCTATAAGCGTTTATAAGCGGTGCTTACGCCGTTCGCTTTGGAATTCTAAGCGTTTATAGATCGAGTAATGACGACATCGTGACGTCATAATTTTTGCTTACAAATACTTATTCCAACGAGGTAGGGCAGCGAAAGCGTGAACGCTCATTCGATTCGGAATGCACCGTAAGCAGTATCAAACGCGAAAAATGAAAAAATGGCTTCCACAATAGATCCAACACGTACTGTTTTATTGAAAGATATGAAAACCGCGATCATATTTATACAATGTTTGTCGTAATATGTTTTAAATTATTCATCATTATAATATGGTATGATATTCTGTACATAACTTGTTATTGTATAAATCTTTGAAATCATATCTTCTTGCAATCATGATAATAGTTTCCAAAACATTATCATAAGGGTTTTCATGATCTTCGTCAATGTCACCAAAGTATCATACACTAATTCTAACACCATTAATATTAATACAAATGACATACATATTTATTTTTTGCTTACTATATTACAGCTTAATTGTGAGCTTATAAATGCTCATAATCGCCAAAGCGAACGGTATTCTTTACTGACGTGTAAGCGCTCACATACCAAATCGAACGACGCTTATAAGTTTAAGGCTCGTCTACAATAGCTGTAAGAATAAGGCTGTAACGTGAGCTGTCAGCGAATGAAAATAATTCGTGTCTTACATCCTTACAGCCATATTCTTTCAGAAATTGTAGACGAGCCTTTATAAACGTGAGCGCTTACAGCGCATGAGCGTCCAAAGCGAACACAGCCCTAGAGTGAAATACAGCCATAGAGCTTATGCTAATGGAGTGGCCTTGCCTATGTTCCGACAAAGGCGAAACTGCTCAAGGAGGATCAAGAGGGAGGAGGATATATTCTGTCTTTACTGTGGCTCCCTCACTTCGTATTGTGCTCTTGAGTGGGGATAAGAGGGGCAACCACAAGTAAATTTGGACAAAAGTAACCTAACCTAACCTAACCTAACATTATTTAGCTGTAAAAAGAATATTTGTTTGATTTTCTTTTTACCATGATGATGAATTACTGCTTCTTACATTTTTAACATTGTCACTGTGATTTTTGTTTTAAAATATTACATAAATATTACATAATGTTCTCTCTCTCTCTCTCTCCCCTCTCTCCCTCTCTCTCTCTCTCTCCCCCTCCTATCTGAAGATGATTAATTTTATTTCATCGCTTTTATTACTATATATATATATATTTTTTTTTTTCAATTAATTATTTGTAAATATTTTAATAACTTTTAAATAACTATATTGCATTTAACAGAATAGGACTGTTAATTCTACAGACTACTCAGATAACACAAATGCTCAAAAGCGAGCCATAAGACGTCTTTAAGACATTTTTAAGACATCTTTAAGACAATATCTTATAAATTTGTTTTAAAGATGTCTTAAAGACGTTTTATAACCCGATTTTGGGCATTGTGCTGTCTGCATATTGTTATATATTATATCATAATTAATAATATATAAAATATTTTTCCCTTTCTGTTTCTTAATATCTCACTTGTTTATTTTATTAGATTTATTAGATTATGTATTTTTCCTTAATTTTATATAAAAATTTTAGTATTTTATGTTGTCTCAAAGAAATGTTTCATAAGAAAGAAATGAAAGGAAATAATGCTAGAGCGCATAGTTACGGGCTTACGGCCACATTTGAGACAAAACATATCTCTGTCTGTTGATCCTTCTCGAACACGCTATTGCCGCTCCATTAGTATAAGCTCTATGGAGGTAGCATATAGTAGATAGCCCTACTGAAAAATTTCTGTTGAGATAACAATAGAATTCCCAGTTTAATTCTCAGTTGAATTTTCAATTGAATTCTCAAATGCGGTTTCTGCAAAAATTCGCATGTAAGATCTCAATTGAAATATTTGTATCTGACGGAAATAATTTATTGAAAATATAATGAACTTTTGCTGAAATGCTTTTGAAAAGTATTTACAATTTTGACCCAATTTCATTAAAATTAATGTTTTTAATGTCATTATGTCATTAAATCTGAACGATTTAACCGTCATGCAATAAGTACTGAAGGCAGCAGCACCGAATAAAATATTAGTCTTGCCATGTAAATAATTTTTACAGAATTTTTGTTATGGTTTATTTGAAAATATATCATGCTTCGATTTGGATAAAATCTAATACAATCTGAACTGGACGATTGACCAAATTAATTAGCACATGTAAAAGCACAGTATTTTATTAGCATGATGGAAAAATGTTATTATCTGCTGTTTTATTGCAATGATTTTTTATACAGTCCCTGGTAGAAAATTAATTTCGAATTATCGTGCCAGTCTCTCTTATATTATTTATACGCTAAACGGTTTTGTTTATATTTTGCGGTTTAAAAGACGAACAAACTCTAAGATTTTTCTTCCTTAAATGATGTAGACAATACAAAGTACTTTTTATCAAGTGAAAAATTGACGTAGTGTCTAAAACGACGGACGATTATCCAAAAGATATCTTTGGTTCAAGTTCGAATCTCAACAGAGAAAATCTTAAAAATTATGAAAAAATAATCTAAAAAAACTTTTTTTTTATTATATTTTACGAGTATTTATGAGAAAGTGCTGATTCTTTAAGTAATTATGAAACATTATGAGAAAATTCTATCAAAAATTTAATTGAAGAACCTACGAAACGACAGGATCTGTGCGCAATCTGCTGTCAATTTGATGCCAAGAGTCTGTTAGCAGACTCTGTCAGCAGTCTGACGGCAGGTTGGGGACGCAGTGACTATGGATCTGTCGACAGATGCTGTTGCAAATCTGACGTCAGTCTGGGCACAGATTGCTTACTGGGTAAATAGACAAAGGCATAAAAGACTATAAACTTTGAGTAATAGTAAAAGAAGATAATTTAAAAAGGAAATATTCACCTTACCATTTAATTAAATTAATTAAATTTAATTAAATTAATTAAATTAATTTAATTAATTAAATTAATTAAATTTATGTATATATGTAAAAATATACAAATTAACACAGATAACCAACTGAGAATTCTCTATGATCTTCTATTCATCTCTGTGCTATCTGAATCAACATTTTCTCATTAACATATCTTTGAATATCATCTTACTAACTGCATAATTGCAACGATGTAATGCTCGTGAGTAGCAAATAGTAGGACAAGATCTATAAGACAAGGCTTATTCCTAGGAGTTAAATACTTGAGATGCAAGCACATAAAAAATAACAATACAAATATATAACAACGTGTATAAATAATAATCTGTTGGTTACATAAATTACAGTTGATATAAGTGAACATTAGATAAACATCTTTCACATTCTTTGCTTATCGAACAGCTGATTAAAAATGACCTCTCAAAAACGTATTATAGACGTCTTTAAATGACGTTATTATTACGTCAAAATAATCACGTCTTTTAAACGTCAGTTATTGGTTACATAACGTCCAGGATTGGTAATCACCATTTATCGACGTGAAAATGACTTGACGTTGTCGCCTGCGATATTTATTAATTTGTTAGGTGACAAAAATGTACCATTTTAAGGTTTGTATTACGTGAATTTTGTATTTTCGAGCAATACTTTATAGAGATGTAGCATGAAGTAATACTTTCGCGACTGACTTGGGGCACACTTTCGCAGTATACAATATTATTGAAATTCCTGTAGCCAGTCAGACTTTAGTAAACAGAGACGAAACGTGTCCTACTCATAGACATAATATATCTAGACCGAGCGTTTGCCTTTATTTGAAGAGTAAGGGTAGGGATTCACGTAGAAAAGAATGGCACTGTTTCTTGGAGATGGTGCGTTCTTTCCCATTCGCGCATAGTATATGAGTGCACACCCCCAGTCCCTACCCCCATTCCTCAATGTTTGGTCTAGATATATTATATCTATGGTCTTATTGTATGCTGCCTCTCACTTTAGATCTGTTTCTATCCTCACTACCGCATTCAGCAGTCCATTCTATATGTCGATGATCTTGCTGCACCACATCGAGACGAGATATAGGAGTGCATCGATATAAGTATAGATAGTGGTGCATTGTTTTCCAATCATTGCATGCCGATATCCGTGTATTATTAGGCCGCGAACGCTCCTACCTCAACCACTTAGCGTGCGTTTTTCCTTAATTTTTACAATTAATTTCTCGGTTATTATTGAGACTATCGCAAAACAATATGGGATTTTTATGTTCATCTCAATCCGCTCTACGTCATCGCGAGAGATTGTGAAGGTGAAGTATCTGGGATACTTTGTATTGTAAAGATCACTTCTTTTAATACTCTTCAACAGATTTTCAACATTGCCGTTCTTTTCTTGTTATTCTAGCTGTCGTACTTTGTTAAAAACTTAATAACAATAAAAGTTTTATAAATTGAATATAATTTTTTACACACGAGTTAATTTTTTGTGGAAGAATGAAGCCGTGCATATATGTGTAC